TATATATATATATATATATCTTTTCTTTTAATGGTTTTTCTATTTTCATTTTATCTTACTAATTCCGTTTCATTTATTTTTGTAGGAAATGATCAAATTTACAAGGTATAAAAATCGGTGTGAGTATTATTTTTCATATGTAGTATATATTATAGATTTTTAATAATTTTTTTTTGTAAGTATATTTAAGCATTTAAGTATTTTTTTGTTTTATTTTTTATTTATAATTTCAATTATTATGGTTGTGTTTTATTTTTAACTCAGTATATGTTATACATTTTATTTTTAATTTAAAAAATATTATACGTGTAAATATTATATAATTTGTAATATATTACTTTTAGTTTTTATAATATGAAACTATTTGTGTGGAGAAAAAATATTTTTTGAGAATTTTTTAGACATATAATATATATATATATTGCAAATGAATCCAATAATTTTTAGACCAATAACAATCTAAAAATAGTTTTAGTATAGTACCACACAGTGACCAAACTTTTTAATTTTTCTAAATCAGGCCATTAATTTTCAGGCAACTTCCGGTTTGAAATAATTTTCAAAGTATACCTAAACAGAGACCATAGTTTTTCAATTTCGCAGTTAAGGCTATTATTTTTCAAACTATTATCAATTTGAAATTTTCTAGTATATTCAAACCATTGTTGATTTGAAAATTGTAATTATTTAGACCGCTTTTAGTCTGACTTAAGCTATTTTTTCGTCAAAATGTCGCCCTTTCTCTGGATTTATAGAGGCCAATTTTGGTCTAAAAATTAATTTTATTCAGATAGATTTTTAACTGATTGTGCACTGCCTTTTGGCAAAGCTTCCTTCTTTTTCCAGCCTCTAGCCCCCATCATCGATGTTCCCAGCTAAACGACATGCCGGCATACAATAGTGGAACTCTTTTCGTACGCCTGCAAAGCGTCAGAGAGAGGGGCAGTTTTTTCAGACCAACTATCCGAATGAATTTCGTTCAATAAATATATTCAGATCAATTTTCATTATTTTTAGACTGAAAAATCATTCTAAACAATAGGTGTTTCTAGTAGTGTATAAGATTTATCAATCATTTTCTTTAAAAATTTTATCTATCTACATATATTTTTTCTTAATAATTTTATATTATCCTAAAATAATTTAAATGTCATTTATATATTATATTTACTTTCATAAAAAATTAATATCTCAAAAAATTGAAAAATTAAATTAAGATTGCTAACTCTGCGCAGGGGTAGTAATAATTTTTCTCTATAATTAACTATATCATTCAAAAATGAGAATGGGCTGGTGGCATTGCCTCTTAGGATTAGTAGGGCGTGGTTATTGCCACGGCTAACATTGTTAACCACACAAACTTAATTTTTATAAAATAATTAATAATGAAGTTTAAAAATATTATTTTTCAAATTTATTTTAATATGCTAA